GACCCTATGTACAACAGCCCTAAACTCTGCTCTGTCTTGTGCCAATCTCACCGTCTCCGACACATCATTATTCAAAGTAGATTTTTATTTTCATCAATAGCTCAGGATCAGTTAGAACTGGCTTCAGTAACTTCTCGGGTTAAGGCTTTCATTGTATATTCTGAAGTTGTTCTGAATAGCACTCAATTAGCATCATGACATGGGAAATGAAATGATTTATCAGTTGTTAATGGACACAATTGCTTTCATTGAGCCCTTTCTTTACTCCTAAAACTCTGTCAATTTTAACTTTCATTTATTTGATAAACCTGATAGCCTTTTCATCACTAAATACTTTATCTCCTGAGTTAACTTATTTCAGTGGCAATTTTCCTCATGAAGATGACTGCAAACAAGTTAATGCCTCACTTTCTCTCTATGAAGCAGAAAAAATTGCTGTCCACTTTAAGGTAAAATGAGGATTGCTAATAAAAAACTCCTAATTTAACTGCTATAGATTCTTTGTGACTCAATTTCACCCCTTCTCAAGGCTGTAAATTTTTGTGGGAGGACACTGCTAATTTTTCTCCAGAGAAGCAGCTATTATATTCAAATTCCTGAATTTTCCATTAGCAGTATGACATATAAGGGACTATGCCACCAAAGCTCCTTAATAGCAAGGAAAATGTCACTAATGAAATATCCTATTAACTTATGGATACTATTTTATTAACAGTTTGTTGTTGATATTATTTATAATTGCCTTCCCATCTCATTCCAGAGAAGACATGAGACCATTTGAAAACCATATAAGATAATAATACTTCAAATTATATAAAGAGTTTAGAATTATAAGAAAGTAAAGATGGAGAAAAGTAAATATGAAACTAGACACCCAGGACAAATGGACAAAAATTAAGCTCAAGGTTTTCAAAGTGAAAAGGCAAAATAACAAACACAGTTCTAGGATATCAACCTTCAAAGAACTCATTGTTGTCCAGTGGAGATCAGCCCTCTAAAGGGAAATGTTTCCAGTGAAAACAACCCTCTAATGAGTTTTAGGGAGGCTGTAAACAGAAAGAGTTTGCCCATCTCTTTCCTTGGAGCCTCAGTTTTATAGAAAGTACCAGAAAGGCACAACCTTTTGGTTAGCAAGACAACTCTATGAATACTAAAGAACAGGAAATCACGTTCTTAGAAATTGAAACTCATTCTTATACTGAATCCTGTTGTTGTCGTTAGCTGCCTTCAAGTTGAGCAGACTCATAGAGGCCCTGTGAACAAACAATCTGAACCCTGTTCTATCCTGCGCCATCCACTCACTTCCTGACACACAAGAGCCCATTGCAGCAGTCACCATGCCAATCCACCTGGTTGAGGGCTTTCTCTCCTTTGCCGACCCTCCACCCTTTCCAGCATCATGTCTTTCTCCAAGGAATAGCCCCTCCTAGCAACATGCCCAAAATATGTGAGGCAAAGCCCCATCATTCTTGCCTCCAAAGAGCACTCTGGCCGCACTCTTTTCAAGACATATATGTTCGTTCTTGGTCGTCCAAGGGATGTTCAGTGCTCTTCTCTAACACCACAGCTCAAAGACAAATTATTTTCCTGTCATCCTTATTCTTTGTCCATCTGAATTCTGAGGGAAGATTTTACTGCTTGTTCTCCCAAAAAGTATATATCATGCCATTGAAAACGTGCATACCACCTCTGCTGTAAAAACCCAGAGGTTCAGAGAACTTTGAATATAGCATTTATTTTCTTTTTTCAGATGTGTATTGATGTCATAGAGGTACCTGGGTAGCATCAATCCTTTGTACTCATCTACTAAACAAATTAACAGTTTGTAGTAAAAATCACTGGTAATCAATAACATAAAGATTATTGCCGAGAAAACCCCTCAGCAGCACAGGTCCACTCTCTAGTACACAGTCACCATGTTTTTGTTGTTGTTGTTGCTACTGTGTACCACATCCTATGTCTAAAAGTTGACCCTCCAGAAGCTTTTCAGAGTCTGGGAATTACACTGGAGGAGATTCCACATCTTTCTCCTGCAGAAAAACTGGTGGATTTGAACCACATGCTTTTGGGTTGGCAATGCAATTCCTTACCACTAAAGATGAGGAGGAATTAACTTGATGGTAATGATTTGTTTCTATTGCCTTTGATTACTAACATAGGCACACTGTAAGTACAATTGTGCAAAAGCCATTATATAGTATTAAAATAATGAAGTAAAGTTTTCTCACTAGCTATCAACCCACACAATCAACCCTTTTGGTAACAGCAGTCAAGAAATCAAAAGACATGTTGCACTGAGGAAATCTGCTGTCAAGGACCTCTCCAAAAAGCTAAAGAGCAAGAATATCAGTTTAAAGATTAAGCCATGCCTGATCCAAGCATTGGTCTTTTTAATTGCTTCCCATGCATCTAAAAGTTGGACAATGAATAAGGATGACAGAAAGATTGATGGTTTTGTACTGTGCTGTTAGAGTACAGAATATTCCATGCATCACCAAAAGAACATACAAATGTCTTGAAGGATGGTGAAACTTCATCTCACAAGGAATCAATTCTTAGAGAGGGACGTCATACTGGGTAAGTGGAACCTCAGCCAAAGAGAAGATCTTCAACAAGATGGATTGACACAGTGATGACTACTACAGTGGAATTGAGCAAGACAGAGATTGTGAGAATGTTACAGGATAGCTCAAGGTTCAGTTCTGTTGTTTATAGGGTCAGTTTGAGTCACAGTCAACTTAATGACACCTAATAAAATGAACAGCCCATTCTGATACCTAGACACAGCCTTCATTCCTATAGCATGATCCTAACTATCTTCAAAGTCAGAAACCATTTTCCTTATATTTACTTTCTCGCATATTTCAATGGAATCATTGACTTTAAGATCCTTGTGAAAAGGGCTCATGAGATTAGGTTATTCACACTGAGAGACTTTTCGTGTGTTAAAGTAAAATGTTCCATATAATGTCTCCTTATCCCAAGTACAATATTCCACCAAATAAATGCTTTAGAAAACTGTACAAGGTGATAATTGACCAGATGGGTCTATTAACGGATGTCTTAGAATTCTACTGACCACACATGTCAATTACTTTAAGGATAGATCAGACAATGACTAAATTTATAACTTGTAAGGAACAAAATTACATGTAATTTAGACACATTGTTTAGTTATCCTATAAATTAACAACTTCAGAATCTAAGGAAGGCTTCTCTTTAGATGAGATAAATTTAAAACAAAGCCCTGATTTTGAAACTAAAGGCAAAAAAAGTTTAATCTCATTGTTTACTATAAGTTTAGTTGGCATAAATTGCTGTAATCCTGAAGGCATGTGGTTCAAATCCATCAGCTGCTCCAAGGGAGAAGGATGGGCCTTCTCCTCCCATGTGATTAACTGCCTCTGAAAACCCACTGTGGGTCCGATCTGACCCAATGGTACACAACAACAGCAAAAATGAGGGTGCACTGTTTTTATACTCAATGGCATATAACAGCATGTAGGTGTGTTGTGCCTTTGTGTTAGGACTGACTCATGGCTAACCCTACAGTGAGTTTCAGAGGCAGTAGATCACATAGAAGGAGACTACCCATCTTTCTCAAGTGGAGAAGCAGATCAGTTAGAATGACATGACTTTTTAAGGAAAAGCAGCTCCTTACCACTGGGCCACCAGAGACTAACAGTATATTATTAGCTATGCTGTACATGGACCTTAACTCATGAAAACCCTATACAGAACAGGGTGACTGTTTCATAGGGTTTTCACTTGATGATTTTTTTTTTAGTGGATCTCCAGGATTTTCTTCCTAAGATAGCTTAGCCTGAAATCTCTGATAAAACCTTTTAAACCTCATAGCACTCAAGATTCTACTGGCAGCCTTATTGTGACAACAGTTTCCTTTAATTAAAGATACAAAGGTCACAAATAGAAACATTGGTATTATAAGTTCTCAACAAGATCCTTCTAAACATAATAGAAGTCACACAATGCAATAAATCAAATAGTGAATGTTAATAAAGACTTACAGAATACAGGTACAACTAAAAGTCCAGAGAAAAAAATAATCTCATTTGAGTTTGGAAAATTACTATAAAGAAGACAACTAGGAAGGAGTAGAGACAAAAGAGAGAAAGAGGACATTGAAGTGGAAGAGAGATCCATGGAATGATTTCCAAACACCTGAACCTTTACTTCATAAGGTAACATAAGAAGTCTTGGAAATATTTATTACATTCTTAGAAAAGACATATGTAAGTTCTATAAAAACTAAGTGTCTACTTTGGCCTAAATATTTCATATCACTGGTTTTCAGTAGCAGCTATTCTAAGACGATTTATACTTGAGAGATTACTCAAAATCAAAACATTATGATCCTCTAAAAATAGTGCAATTTTCACTTTGTGTATTTCTATTTGATTATTTTTTGTCAATTTTGTATGTTCATTCCAATATTTCAAACTCTATTTGTTTTCTGATTCAGATAAATTAGTCTGTTTCCTGTAGTTATGCAAAAGCCTAGCATTGAATTATGAATATGTCATTCCATAATTACGGAATGGACTGTAAACTTGCCACTGCTCATATTACTGCTGGGTACTCAGTCCTTTAGCAAAGCACATCCATTATTAGGACATTGTAAAGTCCTAACCATTGTCCTTTCATTGTATTATTTCTATTTAAATATAATTTATTTTAAGCTCTGATCATTCTCTTTGAGAGAAATTTCTTTATTTTTGCATTAATGCTTTTCTAGTTGCCTTTTCCTTCCACTTTTCTCTGTTTTATCTGCTTGATAAGGGGATTGATTCTAAAGAAGTGAAGAAAAGCAGAAGATTTTCCCAATGTTAAACAAACATAGGAGAAAAGGGTAATACTTTATTATTGAAATAGAACAAATTTACAAACAATACACACACACACACATAAAGGACACACCCAAATTGGTTCTCATCCAATGCTTATTATAGAAGTCTTATGAGTGGAATGGAGTCGTTTACCTCAGCTTGATCAATAGGCATGTGTTCATAGCTGTATAAATTATCCAGGTCTTCCAAGGTGGCGTCATAAGCTTCTGAGTCATAGTGGATGGGCTCAAAAGTGGGAGCAGCCAGAACAGCACCAAAGATGACAAGTGTCAGAATAAGTCTTGCTAGAGTTTTCATTTTTCAAACTTTCCTAGTGATAAAATAGAAAATACTTAGCAATTCAATTGAAATTAAGTATTGAATAGCTTGCCTGAAATAGAATTGATAAATCAGTGTCAATACTGAGGTAAGCGAGTTGGTAGCTTCCTTTACTTGGATAGTTTATGAACATATACATTAAATTTTATGGTTTCTCTCTGGTGGTCTACTAGTAAGAAGCTGCACTACAATCCCAATGGCACACTGTTCAAACCTACCACTTGTTCCCAGGGAGAAGGATGGAAAGTCTCTTCCAGTTTGATTTACTGTCTTTGTAAACCTGCTGGAGGGTTAGCTATGTGTCAGTTCTGACTTGATGGAACACAATACCATCAACAAGATTGTTGATACCTGATGCTCAGATTTATTCACAGAGTTCTCACTATTTTAATAAAGGAGATATTTTATAAAGAACATTGGAAAGAATGGAATGCACGTAGATTAAGATATTCTTACACATAGTAGACTGCATATGAGCTAATATTTTTACTCTTTAATAAGAATTAATAATTTCTAATTTGGGCATGTTGGAAGAAGGGACCAGTCCTTGGAGAGGGACATCATGCTTGGAAGGGTAGAGGGACAGCTCAAGAGATCAAGAGAGGAGGATCATCGATGAAATGGATTGATTTTAGTAACTGGGATAATGAGGGTAGCTGTGTCAGAAACATGAAATTGGCTCAGGATAGAGCAGGGTTCAGAGTTACTGTATGTAGGGTTGCTATGAGTTGGAGGCAACTCAAAGGCACATAACAACAACCAATTTGCTCTTCTTATCATCTCTAAGAGACGGGGTTTATGGTGATGCAGATGATTACTGCAACTACCATACCATTTTACCTAAAAGCAAACTAAGACAGGGCTAGCTAATGACACAACTGAGAATCATCAATGCTTCTTGTGTCTTCAGGTCAAGAATCCTTTCTAGAACTAAATGTGAAGTATTATTTTTCCTATTCTCTGTTGCCCCAGGAGTGTGTGTGTGTGTGTGTGTGTGTGTGTGTGTGTGTGCGTGTGTGTGTGTGTGTGTGTGTGTATTGCATTAAATAATTTTTAAAAATGTTCCTAACAGAATGGAGTGCACAGAAATGTTTTCCCCTTTAGTTCTTTGTTTTGTTTAAATTCTTAATAGTTATCTAAGGTTAGAACTCACAGCCAAGGAAAACACATTTTAAAAATACTATGGAAATATATATATATTTTAAGAGAAGACTTGCATTCATATGATGTTATAATAACCTTTTATATTTATTTAATAAATAAAATTCTTATTTTACATTATAGCATCATGCTTTTCCAGGTACTCAGTCAAGATATTATCACGTATCACGCCAACTGTTTTAGACTTGTATGTGGTGCTTTGAGTATATCCGGTTTAGAAAAAGAATTTTCCAGTTGAATTTTCAATAATTAAAAAGTTACCAATTGGCCACTTATTCGCTTCCAAATTATTGAAGAACTTCTTTTTTTATTAAATATTTATAATTTTAAATGGTCTTATGCACTGAATACTCTTTTTGCTTTTATTTTTAAAAATAAATTTGGGGTGTGCATTTATGCACACATCTAAAACAGAATATATGATAACGATTACTTCTGAACTTGAATGCACTGGCAGACAAACTGGCCTTTAGTTACTTGAAAGAAAGTCTTTATGAAGCAGGTTTAGGCAGAAGGATATGCAATTCCTCTGAGATTAAGAGGCAGTACAAGGAGCTCATTTTTGTCCCACTTCTATGTATTCTTCAAGTCAGCTTCTTATTTGCACTGGATAAACTAAGCCTCTATTTTACTTACCCTTGCAAAAGCTGCAGCAGAATTTCAGATTTGGAACTGTTCTGGTCAATTACCAGCAAATTCTTAACTTAGTAAAACAGCATAAATTGCAAATCTCCCAGGAACTATTCTTTCAAATTCAAGTGGTTGCTAAGAGCATTATGAGTGGTTACTAACCAAAAATATAAATTAATCATTTTTTGTTGTATATTTCTGGTAACTTTCACTATTCAAAGAAAGTAAGTACTTGCTGATAGTGCCCTTAATTCAAACTCTACATTTGGTTATAAATGTGTATACAACAAAATTTGCATGTAATTTGCATAAATCCTAAAGTTCAATTATAAAAATGGTATTTTTTTATTTTAATGATTTACAGATATTCAATACAATGTCCTTTTTGAAATTTTACATTTTTCTACTTTATTCCTTCTAGTAATAATTTAAAATATATTTTATACAAAACTTAATTGAAGAGTTTAAAAAGACATTCTGAGTGCGTAAGGGCCATTAGTCATCAGAATATTTTTAAACACTTTAAACCTTACCTTTTCTCCCTTTGCATAATATTTCAACCACACACAAAAAAAATCAATAATGCCAGTCAATCCTGGCTAAGGATGTGATCTGCGTCGGTGCACTTGATCCAAAGTGCATATTGGAAACTACTATAATTTTATTGGCATCTGTCATAGATCAACTATGCTGTTTTATGTTATTAATTCTTAAACTAATTCAGGATTTTGAATTTTCCAAGAATAATATAAATATAAACTCAGTAGCAATCTTAAACTAGCTTCATTGATTCAAAGCTCACCAAGAGAGATTAAAGCATGTTGAACTATTTTTTAAAGGTTGTTGTAGTTAAAGAGGAAAAACAAATCCATCTCTAACCCAACAAGAAAGCAAGTATAAAAACTTACCTTTTACCTTTGGCTCTTACTTGGTGCAATGGCACGAACTGACTGAGAACGCAGAGCCAGTGGTATGTGCCCTGACCAATAGATGTGAATTCTGGGTCTGTGGGAGGTGGAATTTATCACACTCAGTTTTCTGTTTGGAAAAGCTAACCTTGAGAAACACTGCTCAGTTCTAAAACCTCAAATCATTTTATAGTCACCCAAACTAAACAGTCAAATCCAATCTACACAGTATATATAAAGCATTTAAAGTTATTTTAAAATAATTTGAACTGTCAGGGTATCACCTTAATGTTTTTTAATGACAAAAGTTGGTTTTAACACATGTCATTTCTAGAAAATTCATCAAATAATAAATAATATTAATGTATGCAATGGTACCACAGGAGAGTTCATATGAGAAATAATTTTCCTGAACCTTGATATCTTAAATTGCTTTCTTTACTTTTCATTACTGTTGAGTTGAAATTTAGTAAATGTTACAAAAGCCTTACCTGTTTAATATTGGGTAGTAAAAAAATCCAAATTATTTGGAGTACTTTGATAGAAGAAAACAAAACAAACATAAAACCTCTCATTAAGCCTTTTACACGAATATTTAAAAAATATTCAGAAATAATGCATAAATATGATATGAGTGTTTTGGAAATAAAGCTTCTTATTTCTCATCTGTTAGAGACAAATAAATTACACCTTTTTTTGTTGTTGTTCTAGAATGCAAGATTTCTTTCAGCCTCTTGATATCTGACACAGTTTGTGGAACTAGGTTTCATTACAACTTTAAAAACAAAATATATCTATTATATTCTAGTTACTTGTTTTTTTATTGCTAAAATCCCAGAGAAAGTCATAAATCTAAGAGTCTAACTCTCACCTGTGCATAAGAAGTCTGTTCTCCACAACCAGATATGAATGGCATTCCATAGAGTTGATCTCAATTGACAACAATCCTAAATGACGGAGAGTAGAAATGCCACTTATCATTTCCTATAAGGTCTCTAGAAGTTGTAACTGACTCAAGGGCACAAAACCAAAGCAGTCTTTAAGGTAACTGATTGTCAAGCCTTTTCTCCTGTGGAGCAGCAGATGGTTTTGAATAACTGACCTTTGGGTTAGTAGCTAGGCATTTTAAGTGTTGAAAGCATGGTTAACCTTTCACAAACTGCTGAAGAAAAGAAAGTCCTTCTCTAGGATTCTCTCATTCTTCTCATTCAATTTTACCTTTCCTCCCCCTTTTTAAGTCTTTTTGGCCATTTATTCAGAGAATTCTCATTTATCACTGCCATTATCCCAAACGGCTTCCAAATGACTTGTTTTCAATATGCATTATGTTTCTTGGAATAAATTCCATTTGTGCAAGAAACACTAATCCTGAGTAAGATAGAAAGTTTACCAAGATCTTTCAAAAGTAGAGAAATCATCTTTTAAAGAGGGGCTTCTTTTTCCTCATTTTAATCTCCCTGTATCACAGAAGCACTTTGGGACCCTGTATCACAGAAGCACTTTGGGACCCTGTATCACAGAAGCACTTTGGGAAGAGGCTGAGATCTGACTTCCCATGCTGGCTCTGTTTTGCAACAATGTCCCACATTGTGTGTTAGATGATTTCCTGTAGTTTTCTTAATCTTCTCAGCACGTCTCTTAAGCAGAGTGGTTATCATTATTCTGAGATGTGAAAAAAGGACTACTCTGTTAACCTGCTTAGCATCTCATGAGAACCCAAAGAGAAAATCAAACTGGATGTGTTATTACAGACCTTAACGAGACATGTCAAAGGAATATGGTATGAAAAAGAGTGGTATCACTTATTATCCGGATTTTATTTGAAGTCATGTTTGGCTGTGACTAGATTTTAGCCCTCCCCCCACCCAAATGCTCTAATATTGTATGTACTACAGCATTAGCACAGTGGCTACAACAATGAATTTAAGTGCAGCAGAGATTGTGACGATTGTAAAGGATAGTCTTTCACTTTATCATATAAGGAGTTGGAGCCAATTAAATGGCACTTAGTAATAGTGACAAAAATGTCATGCTGTTTATTGTGTTTTGCACATTGCTATGATGTTAACCATTATACCACATAATGTTGTTTTTACTATTAGGTACTATTAAGTATGACACACAGTGACCCTGTGAACAACAGGTCTGAACTCTGTCCTATCCAGTGAAATCCTCTTCATCACTGTCATATTTGAGCCCATTGCTACAAATATTACAACAACCCATCTCAGAGTGTCTTCCTTTTTTTCCCTGACCCTCCTTTCCAAGAATAATATCCCT